GCGTACAAGGCCCCTGCAAAGAGGAAACAATCTAGGCCAAATGGTTTCATGTACTTGACATGCCCTTATGGCTGTACGATGAGTCGACGGAGTGCAGTCTACTACGAACCCGTGTGAAATTTTCGGGATTCGCATTTTTAAGTTTCCTTTTATCCTTTTACCTGTACGTTTTTTTTCAGGGGCGCAGTTCACTTTTGCAACGCCTTTTCTGTGACTTTATCGTAGAGTAATAAAGGAGGCTCTTCAATGCTTATCCCCCCTTCATTGGAAGTAGCTGAAGTAGATGATTGGGAAAGTTTTTTGTGCTCTTACCTTCAGGTTAGCCAATCGGGGTCGCATTGAGGACCTGGTGGCAGAGACGGGTGACCATCTCCATTACATCGACGACATCTTCGCACTGGGCATTCCAGATCTTACCAACGTTCTTATCCTCGTCCTCCTTCAACGCCTCCTCTTACCCGTCTACGTCTCTTCTCTCACCAAACGCCCTCCGTCTTCGTGCTTTAAAAGCCAAAAAAGGGGCAGCTCCAAGGCAAGCTGCATAGTTATCACCGTACTAAGCACAAGGTCACTTCTGTTTGTCTTTTTTCCCTGCTTCTTTGAACCACTCGATTTGGTGTAAGGTTTCCCATTCAGGCAAAAGTTGGAGTGAGTCGCCTCCAACTCTGCCTCTTGAGCGTTTGGCACTTATGGCACTGTTCGTTATTCCTTATTGGATGAACTCTGAACTCCTATGCGCCTCTTGACAGCGGTCACATGATGATGCTATTTCAGTATCCTAAGGGAATTATGCATCTCGCCTCTTGTAAGAAGCTATTAAGTTCAATACTTTATCGCTTTCTTCCTGTTAGAGCGTTTGTGGCTCCCTTTGATCAATGGGTTTTAAAATCCCAATGGTGCAAAATGCATGAGATTGGTTTTTAGCTTCACTTGTACAAGATTTGACTAGTAAATGATTGAACTTCAGTACTTACTCCTAGAACATCCACTTGAAATAACACGATTTTGGGCGTTGTTGGAAACTTTTCTTCGGTTAAGACTGTGACCAATCGGTCGTTAGAAGGAGGCATTATTCTAGTTCTCTCTGATC